TGGAGCACCATGTTGCAAGATCACGTCGTGTAGAAGAAAATCGGCGACGTCAGTGGCGCAACTTGTTGGAAGGGCGCGTGTGATTGCGTAGCGTGTGGCGTAGTCTGTGGCCACAGCTATCCACCTGTTGCCAGCAGAAGACAGAGGAAAAGGGCCGAGTAAGTCCAAGCCGACGCGAAAGAAAGGTTCAGTAGAAATATCGAGTGGTTGAAGGCGCCCAGCCGGAAGCGTCGATGGTGTTTTGCGGCGCTGACATTCCTCACACGCCGCGACGTATCTTCTGACGGACCGTGCCAGACCTGGCCAATAGAAGCGACGGCGAATCCGGTCGTATGTGCGGGACACACCCAGGTGACCGGCAGTAGGAACGTCATGAAGTTCGTGGAGTACAGCCAAGCGGAGGTGTTTGGGTATGGCAAGCAGCAGAGATGGGCCGTCTGGATGGAAGTTATGCCGGTATAATGTGCCATTCTGGAGTACGAACGAGCGATAGGATCGGTTCGATGGGGAGGAGTCGAGGCGCTCAATGATAGCTCGTAGGGCTGCATCACGGCGTTGCTCGTCGGCTATGTGGTTCAGTTGAGAAACGGAGCACACGCAGGCGTCGTTGTCAGGTATGGTGGCCGATGGGTCAACTGGATAGCGAGAAAGGCAATCGGCGTCCTGGTGCAGGCGTCCAGACTTGTATATCACAGAAAAGGTGTATTCTTGCAGTCGCAGAGCCCAGCGACCAAGTCGACCTGTAGGATCTCTTAAGGATGAAAGCCAGCAGAGCGCGTGGTGGTCGGTGACGACGGAAAAGTGAGTGCCATATAAATATGGACGGAATTTTGAGACCGCCCAGACAAGAGCAAGGCATTCTCGCTCTGTGATCGAATAGTTACGCTCTGCAGGTGTAAGGAGGCGGCTAGCATACGCGATAACGCGGTCGTGTCCCTGTTGGCATTGGGCGAGAACGGCTCCGATACCGTGACCACTGGCATCAGTTCGGACCTCAGTTCGGGCAGATGGGTCAAAGTGGGCGAGGATAGGGGGCGTCGTCAAAAGTGTTATGAGGTGAGAGAAGGCGGCAGCTTGAGTGGACCCCCACGAAAATGGAACGCCTTTCTTCAAAAGATCGGTAAGTGGTTGGGCGATTGCCGCAAAATCTTTCACGAACCGCCTAAAGTAGGAGCAAAGTCCCACAAAGCTCCGGACATCTTTGGCGGATTGGGGTACTGGGAAATTCGTGACGGCACGAATTTTCTCAGGGTCCGGTCTCACACCAGAAGCATCGACAAGGTGGCCCAGCACGGTAATCTGTCGGCGGCCGAAGTGACACTTCGAGGAGTTCAACTGGAGGCCAGCTTTGCGGAAGACGTCGAGAATGGCCGACAGACGCTCAAGGTGGGTCTCAAACGTAGGTGCAAATACGAGGACGTCGTCTAGGTAACACAGGCATGTTGACCATTTGAACCCGTGTAGCAGAGAGTCCATCATACGTTCGAACGTGGCGGGGGCATTGCATAGGCCGAAGGGCATAACCTTGAATTGGTATAGGCCATCTGGAGTGATGAAGGCGGTCTTTTCTTGGTCTTTCTCGTCTACGGCAATCTGCCAATAACCAGAACGAAGGTCGATGGATGAAAAGTAGCGTGCGCCGTGGAGACAATCGAGGGCGTCATCAATACGTGGTAAAGGATACACGTCCTTTTTGGTGATTCGATTTAGATGCCGGTAATCGATGCAAAAACGCCATGTGTTGTCCTTCTTTTTAACCAGGACGACGGGTGACGCCCATGGGCTTGATGAGGGCTCAATAATGCCTTTAGTTAACATCTTATTCACTTCAGCTTGAATAATCTGGCGCTCCGACGCGGACACGCGATACGGTCGACGGTGAATGGGAGCAGCATCACCGGTGTTGATGCGGTGCTTTACAAGAGAAGTTTGGCCGAGTGGGCGGTCGTCAAGGTCGAAGATGTCACGGTAGGAAGCTAGAAGGCGTGCGAGAGCGGCTGATTGCGCTGGGGGAAGGTCAGGGTCGATCATGGGACGTATTGACATGTCGAGGCATGTGGCATCGAGTGGGCGACAAGGAAAATTGGGGCATGCGTCGGCTGCGAAAGTGGTGACGTGATCATCGGCTAAGGACCGCAACGTGGCAATTAGGATGCCTTCAGGGAGGACTTGCTTTGTGAAGCCGAAATTTATGACGGGTAGATGGGTCCGGTTGGAGGCTACAGTTACGATGCAGTGAGGGACGGTGACGTCACGTGCCAGTAGGACATCAGGAATCGGCGTGACGATGTAATTCCCATCCAATACGGGTGAGGTCGTGGCGAATTCGGTGAATGTGAGGGCTTTAGGCGGTAAGCAGAGGAAGTCTGTGGCAGAAAGGCCGTGTTGAGGTTCAGGGTGAATATCCGGCTGAAGAGGAAGGTCTAAGCAAAGAGTACCAGTGGAACAGTCGATCAGAGCAGAATGGTTCGACAGGAAGTCCATCCCTAAGATGAGGTCATGAGGACAGTTCTGGAGCACCGTGAATAGAACAGGGATGTAACGGTCGGCGATGCGTATGCGAGCCGTACACATGCCAATGACAGGAACAGTGCCGCCATCGGCCACACGTACAGCTTCGGTAGCAGGGGGCGTGAGTACTTTTCTTAAGCGGCGACAAAGATGAACGCTGATTATGGACACATGTGCGCCAGTATCGACTAGTGCCGACAGAGAAATACCGTCCACGTGTACATCGACAAGATTTTTGTTCGTATGAAGCGTCAATGGAGGGTTTGGTTCAGACAGGGATGATGCAGCACTACCTCCAGGGGCTGCACTGTCTAGTTTTCCGTCGGGTACGATGAAAAGTTAGGCGGCGAGTGATGGCGGCGTGGCTGGGGCGACGGGGAACGACGGCGTTGAGGGGACGGAGAACGAGCAGGAAGGCGGCTGTTAGACGTGTCGAAAGCAGGGGCGGTACGGCTGGACGAATACCGGCGAAGATCTTCATATGGGCTATAAGGTGCGAAAAACTGGCTCCTATGTGGCGGCGTCCAGGAGGCACGGCAGTAGCGGGAGACATGTCCAACGCGGTGGCACCGGAAGCAGATCGGTTTGTCGTCAGGAGTTCGCCATTCCGCCGGGTTGCGAGATCGTGGAGCAACAAATGGGTCACGTCGAGGTGCATTAATGGGAATTGGTCTGGAGGAGGGGCAAGAGATGGGGCAAGCATCAGGGAACCCGCGGTTGGCGAATTCTTGTCGTACGACCGCCTGAATAACGGAGATCGCGGGGGTTGTCGGTATCGTATGTTCGAAAGAAGTGGGCTGAAGCGGCGCTGGACTTGCTGCTTCAAGTTCCCGTCGAACGATACGCGTTACACTCTGCTCAAAGGGCGGTGTGACGGTAGAATCGGAGCAGGTGGACGTAGCCGCCGTGTTTGGCAACCGAGAAAAAGGAGGGCGCACCCGACGGCTTTTTGCTGTTTCGAAACGGCGGCATTCTTGAATTACACGGTCGATGGTCGAGACGTTAGTGTACACCAGCAAATTGAAGGCGTCGTCCGCGATCCCCTTCAAAACGTGTCCAACCTTTTCAGCCTCAGACATCGCCTCGTCCACTTTTCGGCAAAGAGCGAGAACTTCTTGGATGTATGACACATACGATTCAGTTGGCGACTGGACACGGGTAGCCAGCTCCTGTCGTGCAGCTGCGTGGCGACCGGTCGGGTCCCCAAAGATGTCACGTAGCTTCTCCTTGAACGTGTCCCAGCTGGTGAGTTCGGACTCATTTGTCTCGTACCAGACACGCGGGGTTCCGTCCAAGTAGAAGAGAACATTAGCGAGCATCATGGTAGGGTCCCAACGGTGAGTTTGACTGACCCGTTCATAAAGGCGAAGCCATTTGTCGACGTCGAGGCCAGGTTGCGCAGAAAATGTCCCGGGATCACGTGGTGTTTGGACGGCGACAAAGGTTGTCGGAGAAGCCGCAGATGATGAAGCGGACGCGTTGTCACTGGAAGCCATGGCGGGAAGCTGGAGGATGCGGCCACTGCGGAGCTGCGTGGTGAGGACGGGGATCGTTCCACCTCCACCAAATATGTTACGTGAGTAACGAGACAAAGTATTGCGAATATATTCGAAAAATATATTTGCAAGAGCGGTTGCAGCACTGGCCAGTCTGGCTCCGAGCTCGAGCAGCCAGCGAGCCTCATCTTCTTCGTCGGGCGCACACGCGCATTCGCACTATGGTTTGTGGCAGCCTACAGGTAGCAATATTTTGTGGTTAGGTGTGGCATTTGTGAAATCATGTCCCTACCGCATAGAAATGGGCAACAACGCTCTCGCGATGCAAGTCATTGAAAGGAGACGCCACGCTACAAGCTGTGTGACTGTTTGATCAATAAGTTCAGACACAATCGCCAGCGTCTGTTACAGTGCACCTTGACAACACACAAATGTCTATTGGATATTTTCGTGCATTTCATCGACAGAGGATATCGCAGCTGAATACGATCAAGAAACTGCAGACGTTTTTGAGAAAAATGCCCCGGGACAAGTGGCTTCGACAATGATGTCGTGTTCCAGCCACATTGATGGAGTGTTACTGACAGCGTGGTTGTGTGCGTGCTGGGTGACATGTTATATTTCTTCCTGTTTCTTTCCCCCTTTGTTCTTTCTAAACTTCACAATCCTGCTCCCACGTGAAGGGTAGCAAACTATTATCCTGGAGTGGTTGAGCTCCCTATCTTTCCTTCTCTGCAATTAATTCTTTATTATTCACACTGTGCACGTGCTTTTTGAAAAATAAATGCAAAACAACAGATATGTCTAGGAGGGCTAGCGAATACGAAAAAGAAACCACTCCTTAGTGATTGCATGCAGGTTGGTGAGGCACCTTTTAAGACGTCTCTGAAAAACAGGTCAGCAAACCAATACTCATTCCTTTTGTTGATGCCAGGTAAAACAATCTACCAGGATGGTTTCCTTATTTTGGATGTTGTATTATTCTTATTGCAGTGAAGCAACTTTGGATGGGATACGTGTACATCTCGGATCATGGCGGAGAAGCGTTTTTGATAACGGAGAGATCGCTGTGCTTGTTAAGGAGATGTGCGTTCATCAAAACTACACAGGACATGTAAGTCTCCAACAGACTTGCGAACGTACTCAGTTGTCGAAGCAATTTTCAGCGATTGTCGCAATCTCGTTTCCTTACTTTTATTCACTATCATTTTTATGGCGTCTCTAACATCTGCTCATCACGTCGGTCCAACAATGCGTCCCTCCGTCCGTGCCCAGATAGCCATGCCCCCATCATAATACAGACCCACAACTGTGTCGCTGGTTTCAATCTTGACACATTATTGTCCTTGTCACTCCTTAGCCAAATGGTAGTATTGTGTAAAATAACGACGAACAATGATTTATGAACATGCGTTTGCTCACACTCACTGCCAAAAAGGTGATTGTGGTTTTAGGTAAAACCAGTTAGCGCGAGTGTCTTTCACCAAGGGACAGGTGCAGCACCAAAGCGATTCCACGGCAAGTGGTTTGCAGAAGCGCCTTAAGAGGGTGGGTGCCCCCGACATCGGACGCAATACCGAACGCTATATATGCATAACATACCAACAAAAAAGACACGACAACGCCAGCTGAATGGTCAGAAGCTTTCGGCAAACACACTTTGGATTTTGCAAAGCATGCTTCAAATTTTTGTTGGCATAAGTGACAGCAATATTTTATGAGAATACGTCACCTAAAAAAAAGTTTAAGTCGGAGTAAGTGAGGTATAGGAACGGCAAGAACAGCCGACATTGCAGCCTACCCACATATGTGGGGACACTTACAACAATAGAATAATTTGGGATTACGAGAGCCACTGCTATGGCCGCCTCCTTCGTTTTCTCTGAAGCAGAAGCACGAGTGAGGTTTCACAACCAGTATTGAACTGAAGTAAATTGATAATGAAATTTATTGATACAATCGTTGTCTCTATTTATGGGACTAAAGGTGGACTCAACTGCCAGAAAAAGGCTTTCTTACCTATGCATTCTCAGGTTTATAAAACCATTGAACATGTGCAAACTTATGCAGGTAACAAGAAACAAGGTTATAATACAGACATACAGATAATCAAAACACATTAAGTTATTTCTATACATTCAGTACACACTAGTAATAATAGACATTGTTTCCTGTCTCTGTAATCAGCCACGTTAATATGCACCACATTATATGAGAAGGAGTATTCTTTTCAAGAGCGTTTGGGCACTGCCTCCTGAGAAATTGATTGCGCGCAAAGCACATATTTTTGAGAAGCCGGGAAATGTAGAATTCATCGTGTATGTGGTGTAGAATGGTGTACTTAGCCTTGGTTATGGGTGCCAGAAAGACGGAAAGAGTCTGTAGAATGTGTCGGCCTGTCACGATGCTAGAAAGTTTGTTCTACTGCGATGCTTAGTGGGCTCCTCTGAGTTCAGAAACGGTGTTCAAGCTGCATGCCAGTACGCATGAGTGAAGTGTTTCTGCATAAAGTACGCGAAAAAAGACTTGGTGATTGCTTGATTTTGTTAGACTGGAATACCTCCTTTAGTATATTTCGATAAAATGAGCACTAGGGTTATGAACTAATTGTAAACTTTGGAGTAGATTCTAAACATTGGCTGGAACCGTATAGAAGATGCATGATCAAGTTTTCGGAGTACAAATGTTTCGTAAGCAAGCTATCGTGTAGAAGGATGAACACCTCGAAGATTGCACTTGGGGTAACTAACCGCACAAACACGTGAGCCATTATTTCATATTTAACAGAGAAGAGACAAGTTATGCCACCGGTGAATGTGCATAAGAGGCCTAGATAGGACTTTGGTGGTCGGTAAGTGTAACGACGCAAGCAATGTTTCTTCCCATCCGACATCGCCGCAACAAAACTCGCTTTATTCGGTGGCGGTATTTCGGCTTCTTTTTTATTTTTTGTTTTTTGGGACAGGACACTATGAATGACAGCGTGAGAAAGCCTTCACACAGGAGCACAAATTCATCTGCCTGAGACTGAAATCCTCTATATTGGGCTTGACGAAAACGTGTTCTTCATTAGACGAATCAAGAATGCCAAAGAAGAATAACAATGTATTTGCGCTGATTATTGTTGTGCATATACATTACTGATAAACTTATCTACACTGTGTAAAACTACGCACTACAATAAAAAAATAGTACTATGTTTACAGATAAAAATTTAACAGACCTTGCTAATTACTATATAACTTACCTTAACCAATTCAACATACTGTGTTGCTGCCCGTGCTGTTGTTCAAGTCTGTTTACGTTCCTTGAAACAGTAATTTGTGTCATCGCATCACGTAGTGTGTTATCAGTGTTTTAGTGGCATGCGTCACAACAGAAAGAACAACATAAAGCTGTGTGATAACAATTAGTATGCCATCACAAACTTTGTTAGGTAGAAATATGCAGTAAAGCGCCACGCTAAAGTCCAAAGGAACAGTAATCACATAACGTATCTATTGAAAAATATAAAAGTACAGGGCTGCGCAAAACGCGCAGTGCAATCACCATGAAAGCTGGAAGAGCCGACCTTCGAGAGTCTTTGAACACTCTTGGGGATGCGCAACGATGCTCTAGTGGTTAAGGCACTCGGCAGCTGACACGCAGGTCATGCAATCAAATCTCGGTGGTGGTGGTCGTAGTTTCCGAGAGGCAAAAACACCTCAGACCCGTGTGCTTAGATTTACGGGCACGATGAAGAACCCCAAAGGGTTGAAATTTTGAAAGCCCCACGACGTAACTCCTATTGTGGCGTTTTGCGTCGTTATTTTTATTTATTTATATTTGGCAGAACATGGGAAGGGAGGTTACGTTATAGCCGGCTATCCCAACATCATAACACTAATGTACGATATTAACACACAAAAAGCAAAATTAGGAACAAAATAAGAAAAAAAACTAATCAGAGACAGTATGTACAATACTACATACACTATAGGACTTACAATGCATGAATGAGCACAGTATATGTATGGTCATAGGCTAGTTCTTCTATCAATAACAATGCCAATAGAATCCGTACAAATTGCGGCAAGGTATATTATGAACTAAAGACAGTTCATTAAATAAGTGTAAGTATGAGAATGGCGGATTGCGCTCACAGCGCGCCTTTGATTATTTGAATGCAGCCATGGTCTAAGTATTTTTGCAATCGTGAATGGTCGTCTGTCGAGTCTGTTCAAACGATCCCTCCATTCAGCGCATTGTTGATCGTATTGCGGACATTCTAAAAGAATATGCTTGTCTGACGCATCGATATTATCGCAGTGGTCACAGCGCTGGGACGTTCTTCTTGTGATACGGCATGAAAGCTGAGGTTATGCCTCAACAAATAAATAATAATAATAATAATAATAATAATAATAATAATAATAATAATAATAATAATAATAATAATAATAATAATAATAATAATAATAATAATAATAATAATAATAACGATAATAATTTCATTGATAATGATAATTAGTATTAATATTTTAAACACTATTGAGGCAACTACTACCAGCCTGACGGTAGTATTTCTAGTGCCGCGGAGGCATCTAATAAACAACATTGACATCAGTTCAAGGGTGTGAGGTGCTGAAATGCGTGTTCAATCCCGATACACTTTGGTGAATTCAGTACCTCCTGGGAAAGTGCTTGTCGCACTAAAAACTGGCCCTCGTTGATGAGTACTGCTACCTTATCTACGTGACCTCGAGCTTGAGAGCTACAAATGTCGTGCTTTGAACAAATGAAGCAGCGTTGGGTTATGAGCACAGCAATGTGGACTAAATGTGTGACATGAAACTTTGAAGGCCACGCGATGGGGCCCGATGTTGCTATCACCTTCTACATTAAAGGCAAATATTAAGCGTCGTGTACCCTTTTGTGTCACCGATTCGAGCTCCTAACTGTCACACTTTTTGCAGGAAAATGACATTGCCGTCCTCAAGCTAGCTCAGCCAGTGAATTTCACAACCACTGTCCGACCCGTGTGTCTTCCTCAAAGCGAGAAGCACTTGCCCACTGAGACGGAAGCGTACGCAACAGGCTGGACAGTAAGAAAAGGTGAGCGCCTTGCGCTAAAAATATGGCCAAACATTTTCTAACTTTGAACTTTGGTGCTTTGGCGATAACATCATTTGCGGCATATCGGATGGAAATGTATACCAGAACTTCACACAGTTTCTTGAATGACGGCAATCATTTGGGTCCCTGTTTACCCACTACTTTCCGAGTAAACTTTTAATCTGTGTATCAATATCTTCAAGGGACACACTATTAATATGTTTTACTTTATATCGGTAAAGTAAGGTAGCGTAACTCAACTGTCAGTACTTTCACAATCCTGCATTATTTGTGAGAAAATGAAAGCGACAAAATTTTGTTTATGAATTTCGCACCGATACTTCAACACGAGAAGTTTCAATGCATTAACGCATACCTAGAAGACCTATTAGAATGCTTAGCCACATTAGTTTATTAAAAACCTCTGAAACTTGCTATGTTATCAGCTTTTGTGCTCTATGGTTTGGAGTAGTAAATGGGGCAACACAAAAAATGGCGCAACACGTTGGAGACATCATCACAGTCTGTTGCGTCAAAGCAATCTGGTGTGGTGGTTTTGAGGTGACATCATTACGAGTATCTTCTAACGCAAGTCAGTGCTTACAAATGGCCTTCTCATGGTTGTTTCGCAGAATAAAATCTAAGTTTACTGACACAAAAGTAAATTGTATTTGTCTTTACTGCACTTTTAGGCAACATAGAATCACTGCAGAGTTTGGGCCAGTTGGATTCTAATGAAAATTTCACGGTTTCGAATTTTATCCGATCAGTCATGAAAACCACTTGTATTTCTGTGTGCACGTTCATGTTTCCTCCATGTTTGTCATGCCTTTCCTTATAATAAAGTGCTGTTCTCATGTGGTTGAAATGAAATAATAAATTATTTTCTCCTATTTTTTATATTTGACTTTTGAGTACAAAGCTACCTTTCTGCAAGCCGTTATACATGATACTAATTGTCGTTTGTGTTATTTCATTCTCCTATTATCAGCTTCTTCGGCTATTTTCTGCGAGGATGAGTTTTTGCTGCAAGTTCAAGTGCACTTGACTGTGTGACGCAGGACTTATAGATAACTGAAGGTCACCTCTTGATAATGTTGCTTTTGATTAACACAGTATTCATATCAAATGCTTTCTTCACTCATCTTTCCAGTGAATGAGAAACACCAAGACAGAAGAACGCTTCAGGCATTGAAGATGATTCTCATGAATGAGCAGCACTGCGCCAAGTATTTTGATATCAGCCTCCCGGAAAATGTACTCTGTGCATCGCATATCTACGGCTCATTGTGCGAGGTATAGACATTATTTAAACACTTTTGGTTCTTCCACGAACCTATTTGATTAGTGAGCTTTCGCAAATATGCGCCTCCAGCAGGTACACTTCAAAAGGCGATGACTAATAATAATAAGCCTGGTTTACCGTCCCTAAACCACAATATGATTAAAGAGAGGTTGTAACGGAGGGCTCCGGAAAATTTGGCCATCGGAGATGTTAATGTGCAATGACAGCGCGCGGTACACGGGTGTACACCATTTCACCTCCACCGAAATGCGGCCTTCACGGCTGGCATCGAACCCGTGATCTTCGGGTCAGCAGCCGATTACCCTTCCTACTGATCAAACAAGGCGGACAGAAGACAATCATTGGTATGCGTGACACATGAACTTAACCCTTTCATGTAGAGGCAACGCGAGAAATGACGTTTCAAAAAGAAAGAAAAAAACATTATGCCTACTTTGTTTATTACTGAATTATTCGAGATACTTTCAAGGCCCAAAGACACATTGAAATGAGGTGAGGAATAGTAGTCGGATTAGGTGTACTTAACAGGAGACACAAAAAAGTTTCAGGGCATCATGTACGGCGGGTTCGAAATGTTTTTTTTTTCAACATGCAGATGATGAAGGCAGGAAGGTAGTTGGTGGCGCTTTTGCTTGAAACGAACGAGTTATTGCACAGTCTTGTGCGACAGGCTGGCAGGGCCACCTTATAACGGTGATTAGATCTTGATAATATGTACCTAGGTGCATATGTAACAAACATGTGGAGCGTCGATTTGCCAATGCGGTATAGCATGTCAATGAAACCATGAAAGCTACGGTAATGAATTTTATTTATTCATTTTTGATTTTATAAACCTATGGTTTTGAGGCATCGGAAATCAATTAATAAATAATTATGCTAAATATTTTCCACCTTGAACAGTTGGTGTAGAGGGGGGATGTATACGATGTCACTAGGAACGCATGCTGTGTTGTGGAAATAATTTCAAAGTACAGGCGAACATTAGCTCAATGGCTTGTCGCGAGGGAAGACAGAAAGTAGGGACAAGATATTTCTTCAGTAAACCCTTTAAGGATCACTAGCAAAAAGTTGCTGAACCCTGACTCATTTTTTTCTATGAAATGTTTTTTTGTGCAATTCTTTAAACACTTTTGGCAAAATTTAGTCACAGGCGTCAACGTTTTTCATCGCCGTCATTCTCCGTATATATATATATATATATATATATATATATATATATATATATATATATATATATATATATATATATATATATATATATATATATATATATATTTATATATATATATATATATATATATATATATATATATATATATATATATATATATATATATATATATATATATATATATAAGAAATCCCAAGAAGGAAAATAAAAATCCAGGAAAAGACTCAGGCGTACGGAAGCGAGCGTCTGACGATTTTTCGCTTCTGAGCGCGAGGTGTTGCCACTGAACCATCACGCAGCACCTCTTTCACCGGTGAAACGGCATGCTATTTATATCTATCACTTACCGCTGGCGGGGCTAATTCCGGGGAAAATAAAGTGTTTTCAGCATTACCAGCGAGATGGCACAATAAGCGCGCTCGCCACTGATCTCGTCGCGTCGCGGTACGCCGACTCCCGCTCATTTCTCACGCATACTATGCCCCGCGGAGAGGAGATGGGGGTAGAGGCTTGTGCTCGCGCAATTACCCTCTGGTGATAGAGAATCGTGCGCCTTTCGCTTTCACCGGAACGATTGCGTTTTAGGTGCCGGGCCCACAAGGTCACCTCATTGCTGCATAGGCGCCGTTTGCGAAAAGTGCGCGCTCTTCATACACAACGAAGTAACAACTGCGATACTTGTTAGTTGGCACTCATATGAACCTGTAATTACGTTTTATGCGTCATTAGTGCGTGAGCAGCACGCAGCACCTTTTGATATGCTTGCCATTCTGACCATACATTCAAAATTGTTGCTATCGTATTTATTGCTTCACCCTTGCGGTTGATCTTTGACTTTTTTTTTCTGGTAGCCAAGCATTTTGTGTTTCAACAAGCGTAGAGTTCGAACAAGCATAGTGTTTTAACAAGCGATTGCAAATCCGGCTTTCTTGGATGCACAGGTGTAAGTGTTAAACTGACCCACTCTGGCACAAACACAACATAAAGGCAACAAAAACTCCAAAAGGACAGAGAAAGAAGCACTAAGCCTTATACAGGTGTTGCGTCAAAAAAAAAAATGCTGTGTCATAAAATTTTCGATAAAGTTGCCTTGAAGTATACCTTTTCTTCATTGCCTGTATCAACATGCTAATCGTAATTCCGATACTCTTTCTTTTTTTTTTGTGCTGGATAGGTTGACTTTTCTACAAGTCAGAAGAACATTCACGTTTGGAAACCATGTGGCTGAATTTGCCTAAATTGCGGCAATTATCGATTAAAAAAATTTAACGATTTTGTCCCTTTATTTGTGGACCTAAAGAATGCGATGTACAGATACGCTTGTAACATTTACTAATCAGTATTTACCTAACTGAAATTGTTGTGTTTAGTGGAACGATGTGATAAGCTATTTCTAAGTAGCACTTGCGACTCATTCTTGGAATGTAAGTTATGTAAGAAAAAAATTCTGTGATCGCAAGTCACTATGAACGATGAGGTGCCCTTACAGGCCAATATTTTTGCACAGGGAGTAAATATTTGCTCTAAAGAAAATACGATGGTACGTGTAGGCAATCAAAATCAATGACGGAAAATTACCGCCAATATCAGTGGATACTAAATTTCATGCCGAATCTTTGCGACTACAGCAATGTTACCGAAAAGTGGTATACATTCACATGAACAGTGAGCTATGGCGTGTAATGTTTGAACACTTTCTTATTAAGTTGCATGATATTTGGTACAATGTGATACCATAATGTGCGTTGTCTAATTATCCTAGAATGAATGCGTAACAATTATGTGGAGCCCAAGATGCACGCAAAAATGTACAGTTAACTGTCTTGTTTACTACCTGATGACCATTACTAGCCTAATAAATCTTGCCTTTGGACGAGTTTGTAACCCGTCACATTGCAAGAACTGGCTAATCGATCGAAACACTCACCAACTGACAATCGCTCCTCCTAAAAAAACACGAAACGCACACAGTGGTGTATGTGGTGTGTGTTTCTTGATTAGATGCGTGTGTGAAGGTGAGTGTTTTTCAAGAAATAACCAAGTGGCGCCAACTGCTTGTAACCGGTACTGTGACATGACCGGTACTAGGACATGGCCTGTCAATAATACCTCTTTGAAACGTCACCGAATGATATACGTTGATGTTTAAAGAATTTTCTTGTACTCTTTATTACAGCTTGTTTTCTTATTGAAAATTCATGCTCTAACTATAAGCGTCAGCAATCAGCGAATATCTTCGATACCTCATGCACTGCGCAGGGAGACAGTGGAGCACCCGCGGTGCAGTTCATCGATGGACACTGGTTCATTCAAGGTGTGCTCTCTGGCGGCCCTCTGAAATGTGGTGACAGAACACTGCCCATGGTGTTCACGCGGGTTTCTGACTTCGTAAAGTGCTTCATCAACCCGTACCTTCGTGCAAAAACCTTCAATCAAAAAGTTCAAGTGTGCACGCTCACGTGACACTAAGCATAATTTCAAGAGAAATGGAAACTCGTGTCGCTGGATGAGTCATCGCATTAGTGCAGGACGATCAATGCCTTTGTGCCAAACTTCATCAATTCCTCACCATACCTATTTGTTCACGTGGTGATCACACAAGTTCATTGACTTTCTGACATTCTATAAACATACCAAAGAACTTTGGCTGTCCATTTTTGATTGTTTCCTGCCGTCTTGTGGGCCAGTCCTCAAGGATGTTGGCTTTTACTAATTAGGAAATTGCTGATGATAATATTTGAAGGTATGATTGAAAATAAATAAATAAAACGTTTAACACTCTCAATTTAGCACCTGTAACACTGCCTCTGAACACTTGGGAATTCTCTCACCCAACGTACGATGATCTGAAGTTCGATTGCACAATATTTCGTTTAAACCCAAAGCCTAGGTAAAAGATATCTCACTATACGACAGAAGCCGGAAATTAAGGTGTGACTGTTTTTTCTTCATTAGTTGAAAACCAGGCATAGCTAAAATGAATGAAGGTAGGCCCCTCTCAAGGCCGGAGCTTCTAAAGTTCTGCATTAGAATGAATCTAAATTAAGGCTTATTAGCTACACTGCATATGGGATCAAATGGCGTCTTCAAACGGGCAGCGACAGGTCGTACGAAAGGCATAAAGAAATCTATAAAGTGATACACCTAACGCTAATTAAAGCTTTTTGGCATCATAAGAACTCTTGAACTCTGAAAAGGGATGAAGGTAGAAACAACTGACATCTTCATTGCGCGTCTCTACCGAGGCGGGCAGCTGCGAGGGACACGGCCTTGATGGCGCAGCTCCGGCCTCCACCATCGTGCCCTTCGCCGGCGAGAGAGATCAAGAAGGGCAGGGTCCTGGTGGTTCAGCTGTTTCTGGCACCAAAGTAACGTCTCAAAATTACCAAGTTCCTGTGCGGCACCACCGTGATGGTACGTCTGTGTCCTACAGCTTATTCCGGGCCCAGCGAGCTTCAAAAAACACACCGCCAAAGACAACGGCACAATTCTTAAGGCGGACGTCCCGGTCGAGGTCTTATACTTTGCGTCAGGACCCACCTCATGATATTAGTTGGCGGCGACCGTTACTACCTGTAAGCCGTAAATGTCGGAGTTTCGAGTGCCAAGTTTATCATCACTTCGGCACATGAAGGTGCCAGTTGACTTTGGAAATATTCTGGTTACTTCTCATATAAATAACTACGAAGGACAAGGCATCTCTCCCATGTTCAACCACTATCAGGTATCGAGCGGGCTGCGTTCGCACCACTTATTCGATGCACTCGAAGTGGCTGCCAGTCTCGCATTCACTACGGCACATGCGGGTTCCAGCCCCTGTCGTGTTTGAGAAACCACCGGTGAAAGAACTGAAAGAGCGCATGACAACGATACATTTTTAAAGATCCCACAGAGCGTGTTCAGAAGTGCGACAAGACAATCCTCGCAAGCAACTCGGTCCTCTTCGAATATTCATTGTCATCTGCTAACGCCATCTTCTGCAAGAAACAACGGTGAGTTGCAGCGTGACCGAGGCCTGCAGCCACCGTAGACAGTTATAGTATACCGGGCTTACCGGGATGCCGGGCATACCGTGATATCGGAATTCAAGTGTGCATGCGCAGATACGTACGTTACCGGTACCGCTTACCGTACGCAAGGTATTATTGAGATTTAAGGTTGCCGTGGTAGCGTAAGTGTACGTAGTGTACGAAACATGGCGGCTCTCTAGGACGCCCACTTCGAAGAGATTTTCACGTAGTTGTTGAAAGATTCACCTTGTTCGCAGCAAACGACTGTTTAAAGTGGCTTCGCTTGCTTTCAGTTAGCTTCGATGACCGAGTATTACGGATAAGTTGGCGTACCTTTTGGGATAGCTTCCCATTTTGAACACTTCTAGGCCTAACTACAAGATCGATGTAAACAAATCTGCCGCATATTTTTTCGCATTTGGTGCATGTTTAATATTTATTTGCTTTTATTAGTAGTGAAATAATCTCATAACAATGTTTCGCGTCGTGGCATAGGCAAACATTCTCGTTTTCTTTTCCTTTTCACTGTACTAAACTTATTAATAAATCTTATAGGTGGCGCCCACAGTCCCAGCTTGGGCACTTGGTTGCATCCAAATCAAATTGGCCTGTCTTCATGCGTCCTCCATGCATTTGGATTTCGGTTACTTGAAGCAGGGTGGCGGTAGTGCTGAGGGGTGTTCGAAGTAGGCGTATGGACATTGAAATAGTGCACAGAACAGATTGCCTAAGGCCCGCGTTTGGCCCCGCCACGGTGGTCTAGTGGCTAAGGTACTCGGCTGCTGACCCGCAGGTCGCGGGATCAAATCCCGGCTGTGGCGGCTGCACTTCCGATGGAGGCGGAAATGTTGTAGGCCCGTGTACTCAGATTTGGGTGCACGTTAAAGAACCCCATGTGGTCGAAATTTTCCGGAGCCCTCCACTATGGCGTCTCTCATAATCATATAGTGGTTTTGGGACGTTAAACCCCACAAATCAATCAAGGCCCGCGTTTGGCATTTCTTGTCACACAACGCTCTGTACGAGAGATATGGTGGATTGAGCATCATGTGGCGTCAGGGCCCTAAATTGTGCTGGTGACATGGCTTCAATTTCGCGTCGGACGACTCTCGTACTGTCAGCAGAGAGTGAATTCGGCTTGGTCTCGATATGGAGGTCCTCACAATTTGACTCCGCAATGGTCTAAGACGGACGAAGTGTAGGGAAATGCGACAGCTTTTAGCCTCTTGAAAGCATTGGCATTCCTTAATGAAGTCTTGAATTATGGAACAGCCTTTAAATAGAAGGAGATTAAAGGCATCCTCAGCGACGCCCTTGAGCACGTGCGCTAAATCTTCGGCTTCCGTTATATTAGTCTCAACCCTACGGCAGAAAGTCAAGAGATTTTTAATTTAGGCCAGGCGAAACTTCGTGGATGTCTACACACAGGTATCAAGTTCTTTCTTAGCAGGCTGCTTCTACCCGGCAGATTGGCCGAACAACTCGTGCAAGTTCGTCTTACATATGTTCCAGCTTGTGAGCTCTTCCACGTTGTTGTTGAACCACCCTGGCCTTTACTTTTCAATAAAAGTTTTCAAGCATCACAGCCAGTTAGGTTGCACTTGTGATTCTCACCCACGAAGCTCGTACAGTTGAAGCCACTCACCTTCGCCCTCGCCCACATTACCCGAGAAGTTGCAAGTATCACGGGTTTGAGAGATTACAATGACCACAGGTCATGTAGGTGCCGTTGGTGCGTTGGGCGTTTCTGTTGACGCAGCACCCCTGTGAGTATACATGTTGGAAGTGGCAACTTAACGTCCGCCGCGAAGCTCCGTCATTCTTTGCTACCCAGCACCTCCACCTAAATGTTACGGAAGAGCACAAAAGGAAAGGAGGCGATATTTACACGACGCCAAGTGTAAGCGGAGATGGCAAGAAAGAGCGCGCCCCACATCCAAGAATCACGTCGTCTTTCTCGCTGTCTCTCTTGATTCTTCAGCGTTAAACAGTCTCGTAACAATGTGTAGTGGCCTCCAGCATTTTCCTGTGCAAAACCCTCTCTTTGTTTGTAAAGAAAGCTTCTATAACAAACACCAACAAAAGTTTATTTGTTGTGTTTACTTATTAATATGTATGATCTACTCCCATACAGGGTAGAACATAGTTATAGGTCCAACCTCTTCAGAGTCGTCAGAGGTCATACAGGTAGAATTCATTTTATATAGAAATAAGTACCACGCCCTTAAGCTTGCGGACTACTAGCTATTTCTGAGTTACTTCAGACATTCACCTAAATGTTCTTTAAAAGAATAAGACATTCTGTGACCTATAAAAATATATAGTGTGAGCATGATCGCTAATGTGACTTGCCAGTGGAATTTTCTAATGGAATAATTCTGTAAATGCCGTGTTTTTTTTACAGCTGAAATTCCAGACACTTTGCTTCCGTAAATGTGCCTGGACTATATTTTCAATGTTGATGTTATCTTTTAGAAGAAAAGCATGGGACATTGTGTTGCACAGTGTGGCCAGTCCCCCTTGTGTGTATGAGTCAAGATCTCCTAGGCGACAAGACAAGACATTTTTATCAGATCTGGTTACTATAAATACTGAAAGGTATTAGTTCGGCATAGTTTGGTGACGCAATCTTGGTTATTTCGGTAGATTTCTGCCTGGAGTTTGTAAATATTTGCGTTGATCTCAAGGTGATCCTGCATGTTAGTTGAGAAAATTGGAAAATACCCTAACGTGTATTTAATTCTATGTATACCTCAAAATGATCCACTTTGCATTGCTGTAACATCATCATGATCTATTCTTTTATTCGGCACGCTGAACAAATAAAACGTGCTACCAGTATGTTTCTCGCTTGTTCTTGAGTGTAATTTGACATGGACTCTACAGCATTGCTGCATGGAAACTAGTACATAGTTTTCATTTTAATCATTTGAGTACATGTGGATCTGAAATAGCATTTTAACATTTTACTTTTACCATGGCAATGGTGCAAATTTTCCAGATACATCTGAACTTTAGGTTGGTCATTTATTCATTATCATAATCAGTCGTTTGAGCACAAGTTACTCCAAATCTGCGATCAGGAATTTCGCCCGTGGTTTAATATCCCCCTAGATAATTCGATCTTCAAAAATCTATCCTAATCCCCGCACAATACAGATAGTCTGGGCTCTAGTCATGCATCACTTCCCAGTAACGGGGCCACCCACAGTCAGTCTCAATCATTCGTTCTTCTCACCGAAGGCCAGTCATTTACCGGGGCATGCGGGTACTGCAGCCGCGAGCCCAAGGCCGTAGGCAAGCGCCTACCCGGTAACATTCCTGGAGATAACGCAACATTATCGTCCAGCCAGCTTACTCTATTCCCAGCGCACATACCTCAAAAGAAAAGGCAGGAAGCAAAGTAGAGGCATCTACAAAGAAATACTTTCCGAACCCCGTTTATTTTATCAC